GTAGTTCAAGGGCAGCCTCTAGGTAAGTCCTCTTGAAGGAAACACACACACACTCATCAAGGGCCTAGAGTTGGAGTTTCTTAACAGAACCCCAAGAAGAAATGGGTCATCTTTCAGCTCAAAGACTGGCTCCGAATTCCTCCCCCGGGATTCAGCATCCTGGGAATTGATGAAAGGTATTCATTAGAGGTAAACTCACTTGATTTTAAAAGGGAAGTCTCAGGTATCGGTCCCCCCAGATCCATCCCTGACCTACACCCGACCGAACTCTAAGAAGTCAGGGACACGTGGTGCCCCTTGTAGGAGGACCGGCCACAGGCTTGCTTTCCACCCACAGCCTGGTCTGGGCAAGGTGAGGGGAGAGGCTTAAACAGCACCTGCTGTTTGTTTGCCTTCAACCAACTCCTATTTCATTCACTGTGTCATTTTTACTTAAACTGGTTTACATGTAGAGGCTGTGCCTAAAAGACTCCCAGAAAGAGTCCTAGAATTCCAAGAATGTAAACTTCAAGGGCTAGGCCTGCAATGGCGAACTTACCGCAAGCAATTTAACATCAAATGGCCCCAGTAGGATGTTTCAAATTTCTGCCCAAGTTTTGCCCATACAGAAATGTGATGCTTCTGTCAAAGAAGGTATTTTCCTTAATAATAACTCCGAAGAACATTACCCCAAAACAGACGTGGTGTCATTTCAGCTATGCCCCTCTACCTTCATACATCTCCTATGACTCCCAGAATGCCAGGAGTCACCCTGGGTCCCAGCTCTAAACGCCCTGTTCCAAATCCAAGGCTATGCTTCCGAAAGCTCCATATGAGCACATTTCCCAGGGGAAAAAAAAATCCATCAAAAATGCAGGCACATATGTCGATAGCCCCTGAGAACAAACATAAGAATGAGGAGGAAAAGTATCAAGGAAAATCAAACATCATCTCTAAATTCTATAAATCTGTGGTTTACTCTACTAACCTGAACAGATCTATCTGGTGGAAATAGGGAAGGACATTTTTTTTTTCCTGAAGCTATTGACATACTAAACTAAGGTAGGTGCACCTAAACCTGCCCGTGTTTTCTATTTCACAGATCGTAAGTTCAGCTAAGTTAACCAACTCAAAACGGTCCCACAGGTAATGCTGCTGAAATTACCGAACTTAAGAGATGGGCTCCGATTGTGTTTACAATTCCCAAACATCCAGGCATAGCCTTCAGGAATTCATTTGGCTAATCTGGAAATCTGAGCTGTACCTCACCAACACGAATACCTGAAACACCAGGAAACCACACCACTGGTACCCAATTCCGAGTAACACAGGCACGTAACTTAGGCCAGGTGGTGTGACTGAATAATTGATCAGGACACAACAGAAGGTTTATCCTCTGATGTTTGTCATCATTAGCATCCAACCTCGGTTCACTCAGGACGACCTTTTGTTTTAATTTTTCAAGCCACTGACCACTACTTCTGGCATCTGGCTGAGGGAGCGGGTGAAAACAACCACCAAAAACAAAAAACAAAAACAAAAACAAACCCTCTAGTTTTGAAAGAAAGGTTGAAGACTCCTGAACACCTCTCCTCTCTCTTTGGCTCCTTCCTCATCTAATTTTGCAGGCCATTAAACCAGAATGGGCGCTAGAGCATTTTAGTATTTGCTTTCACATTAAAATGTCTGAGTCATTAATGAAAGCTGGCAATTGATCATGCAAGCAGCAAGCCCTCTTTCCTCCTTCCTGGACTTAAGTGTTGTGTTATCACATCTACTTCCTGTCGCACCCCCCTCCCGCCGACTCCGCCCCACCCAGCTAGCCCTGCCTTCGCTTACTGCATCAGTGGAAACTTGCAAGGCTCTGTGGGGTGACCTCGCTCTCAAAAAACCATTCAGACTGCCCCTCTTGGCCACTGAGGACCTTGTGGTGAAAGAGTCATCATCTATTAAGAGCAGAAAAGGCAACTACACGGGCCCGACTCCCTTGCAAGCTATAGACGAGTGACCAGCTATCTAATAAGGGAAACCACATCATTTCCAGGCTGGTCTATGTTGACACCCCAGGGCAACTCCCACACGCACACACACTTCCATAAGACAGCTTCTTAAGAAAAACAAGCCCCTAGAAAACAAAAGCACAACTGACTTCCACTTTCCCCGCAATCTCTGAGCTGGGTAAGGTGAGAGGAAGAGGGGCTGAGAGTCCCTCCTGGTGATCCCCCCCACCTTGCAAACCATAGCCTTTGTGTTGGAGGGGCCCCCAGCGTGGGATAGCTGGAATGTGGGGACGCCACTGTGTTGGAGTTAATAACACTGTGTCACAAAGGAATTTAAGCCTGAACTCGAGACATTCTCCTTCTCGGGGCTTATACTTTTCCATCTTCAAACTTCTCCACTCTGTCTCAAAAGAATAAGAACCCTCTGTAATTTCCCCCACCCACCCACCCCAAGGTCACTACTCTTCCTTCCAACCGCCCCTCATGAAATGACTAAAGAACCCCTAATTATGGAGAAGGCAACGACTAGGTCACGAGGTGAGTGTTGTACACCAAAGGTGAAAAGGCTCTGGATCCACTTCCAAAATGACCCACCCTTTCCAGAGGGGATTGCCTGCCCTGGGAGCTGTGTATATGAACCAAAATAAAACCATGGACAAAGAGCTGTCACTGTGGACGCAAGCTCTTGGCCAAGCACGGAGGAGGTCAGGGAGGGCTAGTGTAGGTTTGGAATAGGAACTGAATGAGGTCAGGAGTGGGTACCCGGGTCTCCTGGCTCCTGCAATGCACCCCAAATTTCAAGGAACTCCACCTTAAATAGGAAAGGGAGGTGGTGTGGCAGTGAGGATAACCGGTGTCTCCCACACACATAAACTGAACACTGCAGGGATCATCGAGAGTTAACGCTGTGGACACCCCCACCCCTTCCCCTGGTCTCAAATCCCTCAACTCTCAAGTCAGGGGTCTGTGGATGGGTGTCTGTTTCATCCAGCGGGAGGTTGCAGTCTGTAGCCCCAGCGAACAGCTCTTCCCTTCCCCAGGTAAGCCCACTGCAGGGGCTTTCCCCGACCAACGATGCCATCTCACAGCCAAGTGAGCCTGTGAACACTGAGACAGCTAAGACGAGACAAGGAGCTCACTCGCTCGGTTTTTCCCGGCCATGTTTGCCATTTGCGGGAATAAATGAAGCATCGGTAATCTCCATAAAAGAGCTTTCACGCTTCATTCTCTGAAACTAAGTTGGGGCTTAGACGGAAAGGAAAAAAGGAACTTTTAATTTAAAGTAATGATCATCAACGCTCTGCCTTTAGAGGGCCTCTAGGAGAGAAGGGGTCCACCCCACCCCGGGATGCTGGAAGGAGGGCCACTGAGCCCGTGCCTCGCCAGGTAGGTCTTGAATTGCTTGGATTGAATCAAATCCAAAGGCGGGCAGCTCTCTTGGGATAACTGAGGGGACAGAGGGGCCTCAATAGCAAGAGATCGCAAGAGATCGGAGACTGGTTGTCCCAGAGAAAGGAAAGTGACAATCCCCATGGAGGCCCTGGCCCTGACTGGGGACAGAGGCGTCTTCTTCCAGCGCAGGAGTCTGCATTCTGGAACGTCAGTGGCTGTGGCGCCTCCCCAGAATCCCTCCCACCTCTCCGGTTATTTTCACCTGGTGGGTCGTTTGCGGCCAAAGTTTGCATGTGGGGTGTACAGAACACTCAGAGCCGCCCAGACCTCGAATCCCCTGGTCCTGCCCCGTCCGAGGCCCCAACGGTTCTAACCCCGAAAGGGAACTTGGTTCACTTAGCTGAATGCAGGTGGTGTAGGGGAGGCTCCATCCGTCAAATTCCCCGCCCCACCCCAAGCCCTGACACAACACCCAGGGCCCCTCACTCCCGTTCTAGTTCCCAAGATTTTTCTTAGGCACCTCCAATGAGGTCGACCTTGTGAGGGCATTTTAGAGAACAGATAAGAAACTCCAGGCCGAATGAGCGTGGATCTGGGTTCGGCAGTCCTCCCCTGGGTACCTATGTCCCGAGTCCCGATGGAGCTCTTGGTTTCCGCCTGCTGAGGACAGCGCACTTGGACTGGCCCTGATGTCGGGAAGGCCGGCGGTGAAGGCCAGACCTCAGTCTGCAGGGGGAGGAGGCGGGGAACATCGAGCAAAGGATCGAAGGACGCGACCCAGACGGGCCTCGGTCTCTAGCAGCCCTCCGTGCCCGGCCGAGCCCTTCTGAAAGCTCCGCAGGGCCTGGGCGGGCGCCGCCCAGAGAAGATGCAGATCAATGGCAAGTTGGCTGCGCTAGTTTTAAAGAAATTCCAAATAAACAGTGAACCCGAGCGGGGAACCACAGCTGGGCCTAGGAAAGCGAACTGGCCAAATAGCCCCAAAAAAGAATGAAAGGGGAGGTGGGCCAATGCCTGCGCCCTGAAGGTGGGAGCTTTGTTAGGGGAAAAAGCGGGGGTAGGGGGCAGGGCTACTGCTACAACTTTTTCTACCGCGCCGCAAAAGGAGCCCGCACCGGGGATTTCGGAAGGCGCTCACCTAGTCCGGGAAAATGCAGGTGGCGGCCCTTTGCGGGCCAGGTCTGCCCCAGCCACGCACCGAGGAGGCTGGCGCCCGAGCGCTCCGACGCCAGGGCCTCGGGGCCAGCCAGGGCCATGCAGGGCGCCGAGCCGGCGGGCCGAGTCGGGCCGCCGAGCCAGCGAGGGTCTGGGCTCCCTGCGGCGGGTGTACGCGAGCACGCGCCTTGTCTGAACGTTCAGGACAAGTTGTAACACCACAAATAAAGTCGGGTCTCCGCAGCCTTGAGGTTCACCCCTCCTCCTCCCTGGGTTGACCCCAGGCCCGGCCGCTGCGAACCACGGTTTGTGCAGCCCGGATTGCAAGCCGCCGCGCGCTATCGTCAGGGGAAGGGCGCTCCCCCAGTGGCCACGAATTGGGAGCCCCCGAGTCCAGGGGGGCTGAGGGTGGCAGGGGAACGTGGGGGGCTAGGGGGAGCGTGGCCACCTCCAAGGTCAGCCCTGGTCCTCAGCAGCCGGCCCGCGGAGAGGAGCGGAAGGTCGGCACGCCCCAGCCTCCTCGGAGCAGCGGAGCGAAGCAATCAGGGGAGCAAACTTGGGAACTGGGGCGGCGAAGGGAGGAGACGGAGCGCAGGGAGCGGAGGGACGCCCGGCACACTCTCAGCAGAGGCCGAGTCCGAGCGGCCGGAGAGGTTGGCCGCAGGACGGCAGCCTCCGGGGCGCAAACGGAAACCTCGGAGCCAAGGACTTGAAGGAACCCAGAGGCTGGGGAGCCCTTAGAGAATGATCAGAAGGAAAGCGAACCCGGCCCAGACACAAACCGAAACTGTACAAAGACAGTAGCTTGGGAGAACCCGGGTGGGAGGCGAGGGAGTGTCAGAGCCTGCGGCCCGAGCGCGCGGGTCCCTGTCTCTTGCCCGGAGCCCGGCGCTAGTAAGTCGCCGGGGCCGCCTTCCCCTTCGTCCCCAACGAGCGGGTGGGTAGGATCCGCGCCCCACGCTGGGCCAGCAGAATTGGGGCGTCGCGGCTCCTGCAGAGAGGGCGAGCCCCAGATGTGCTCGGATCTCCAGCCCGTGACTCGACTGGCCAGCGCGGTCCAGGCCTACGACCCCCGCTGCGCTGACCGGAAGTGCATCTGCGAAGCGCCCTCCGCGGAGCCGGCTGGGCGAAGGCAGCTCTGGCCAGGCTGGCGCCAGGCCAACGTACAGGATGCCCGATAGGGCAGCCTGTGTCAGCGGAACCAGCCTGGGCTCAGGTGCGAGAGGTCAGGAGGGTAGACACTGCTGATTGTGGGGGGAGGGGGTATCTTAACTGGGGGGAAAGATCAGAATCTCTTGGGAACCTAATACGAGACCTACCTGGGTGGAGTGGGGTTTGAGAGCAGGAACTGAGACATGAGTTACTAGCCTAAGCCAGGAGTTGAGGTTGGGGGACGGCGGGGAGGGGTGGGGGCTGAGGACTACTCCTGCTTAACATTCCAGAAGAAAGAATAGCCCTTAACCCAAGTCAGCGCCTCTCCCTACCTTGTGCTGAAGTCTCCTTGCTGTGGAAACTTCATACTGCCCCGTGCCAATCATCCTGGTTTTTATGGCATATAATTATAGAATAAGCTTTCATGTGGTTTGCTGTGACCTTGGCAAGAATGACCCTGGGCTTCAATTTTCTTATCTGTAAAATGGGGATGATAACATCTGCCTCAAAGAACAGTGTGAAGTTGAATAAAGTAAATTGTGTCAAATGGCCAGCAATATGCAATGTCAGCCCTCAGTAAATAGCAATTGTGTTAATATCATTTTTAAATGTCTGAAAATGTCATCTTCTGAATTGCTTCTACTCTGCCAAATGGATCAGTCCTGCACGTGGAAGTGGGGGGTGGTGTGGGCATGGAGGGACATGCTGAGGTGGCTGTCACGGGGACTTGCTTTTGTTTTCTTCGGGCATCTCCATTACATTCCAACTGGATGAAGTTGAGACTCTTAACGCTGCTACTCTGCGGCCCGGTGAGGCCTCCCAGCAGCAGCAGAGCTTTATCAGTCAAGCTTCCAGCGGGGTTCGCTTTATCAGAGGCACAACTGTGGGCCCTTCTGCCAGAATCGGTTGGCCTCGGTCAAGGCCCTAGGCCTCTAGCGGTGGTGGGTCGGTCTGTCGTGGCTGAATTTTAAATACTAGTGGGTCCCCCTCTTCCTTGGATTCCTTCCAGCTTGCCCACAGGGGGCTCCCTCCCCTCTGCACTGTAATTGCTGTTCCTGGGGTGCCAGCTGTCCAGGTCTTCAGGCCACTGAGAGGCTGATCATGCCCAGGACCATGCTTCCCAGCACCCGACTTATGCGCTTGTGCAGTGGCCCGGGGCAGGGAGGAAACTTCTAGTGGCTTCGCTTTATACCCCATCCTCTAGCATAGCTGAGGAGGGGAGAGGTTTGTATTCACTGCTTCCCCTGCACAACACTTCTACCCCAACCTCCTAACCCCAACCCTCACCCTAGTACTGAAGCCAAAAGCTGAGCCTGGAACCATGGATCCGAATCCTCTCTTCAGGATAAGATGGGTGTGTCTGAGCACCCACAGTGAATCTCTGCTTTTCTACAGACTTTTCTGCTTTTCTGCAGACCCAGAGTCTTCCATTACTGCAACCTGAAATCTTCCCAAATATCCTCACCACCACCCAACCCCATATCTCTGGGGAAAATTCCAGAATGGAGGGACTGGCTCTACCCCCTAGAGAGGCACCTCGGGAAAGGTTGCATGCAGAAGCAAACTCAAGCAGCAAGTTGAAATGGCCCAGGACTTGCCTAGCTCTCCGAGAAATTACTTTAGGAAGTTTTGCGCCCTCCTTCTCTTGGCCTGCTCCACCCCCAGGAGGTACACCTGGGAAGGTGGGGAAGGTGCAGGGTGCACAGGAGGGATGGAGACAGGTGTAAAGGGGCATTTGTGTCCCAGCCCAGAGTCACCCAGCCCCAGCTCTCTCTGGGGAGAGAGAAGGGGCTGCCTTGATTCCAGTCTTTCTATCCCCACAATCAACCCACCCACCTCAGCCCCAATTCTCCCTGGTGACCTCCGTGGGAAGGAGGGAGCAGGCAGGTATGTCCTTGGCCCTGGAAACAGCAGCCTGCCCCTACACAGGCTAGGAGCGAAGCCCACCAGCTGGGGCATGCAGCTGTGTATTGGACACCAGCAGGTGTATTCCTGGACCATGAAGAAACGTGAGCCAGAAACTCCCATATGGGCAATGGCCATGTGCTTGCTTGGAACACACCTCTGTACTTCAGTTTAAGACATCAGCCGACTGACACTTGCTTGTATATGTGCATGTATTTTACCTATATATACGTGTCTACACACAAGTGAGGGCATTTTGTGCACTTGGATGTGCAGAAGTGTGCTGTGTGGCTGCATGTGCATTGGTACTACCCATTCAGTGGCACCCGGAGGCTCTTACTGGACTCAGATGAAGTCTGAGGATTCTGCCTCTCACTTCCGATGTGCCTTCACTTGCTGAGAGGCACTTTTCCTCCCAGATCCCAACCCCCACTCCCCCCACCCTCCCATCCTCACCCCCAGTAAAATGACCTTTCATTCAAGAATCCCTGAGGACCCCATACAAATGAATTGCCTAAAGCATTTGGGGAGGAGTTGGGGCTGACAGAGTCTCCAGCCCTGTCCCTTTCCACCAGTTGCCACAGAAGAGTAACTCTCACCTGGGTTCAAAGGGCCGAGAGGAGAGGGGAGGTCTCCGGTGAGGGTGGTGAGGGATGGAGCAGTACTTTGCCACCTTCCCTCCCCTAGATGGAGTGAACATGATTTCCAATTTGAACCCACGGTGACATCCAGATTAAATGGGCCCCAGGCTGGGAGGCAAAGCCAGGATGGCCTCGGGCCCCTCCCCACCCGCTCGCTTCCCACGTCTGGGCCTGGTGGAAGTTGGAGTGGGGGTTGCCTGCATTGTCAGAGGAATGGCTTTCCTGCATTACAGAGAGGAAGAGCAAGGCTGACCTGGAAGAACTGATGGCCACCCCCAGAGAAGCCAGAGCAGACACCTTCACAGGGCAGAGTCTGTGGAGGGCCTCCTTGACCCTGGCCTTGGCTCTGGTCTCTAGGTGTCAGCCAAAGTTCACCCTTACCCCTACTGTTAGGCCTTTTACACTGAGGGCATTGGGGCACAGTGGCCTCCCTGGTGATACCATCTGTGGAAGACAGGGCCATGGGGCCAGGTAGTGGCAGCCTAGCAGGCAACTCTTTCTCTGCACCCTCAGCAGCCTGGCCTAGGGGGCCTGAGAACTGAGCACGCATGTACACACACACACACACCAATCACTGGCAACCATACACCCCAAACACACACCTTCCAAGCCTACATGAATATATTCAATACCACTGAGATACAGATGCCCAGACACAATGCAACCCACAACATACAAGCCCACACAGACCTACAACACAGCCCCACCCACCCAAATACCCCCTCCTTAGTCTACCCCACCCACAGCCTCCTCCTCCAGGCCCTACTGAAGGAAAGGGGGTTTCCGGCAAGACAACAGAGACCTTTGCCCTCAGAAAGAGCCAGGGATCAATACTGTTTAGACTTGGCTAGCGTGTATTTCCTCCTGGGCTGAGGAAGATTTAAGTTTATGGTTCAATCCAATCTTTAAAAAAAAAAGGTAGAAAATAAGGAAGTTGGGATGGTGCACTGCACTATTTATTTCGATGCAGCTCCAGACTGTAATACACAGGCGGCTCACTAAGCCAGCCCCATAAATCAGAGAAATCAATGCCTGTTTATGATTATTATTACTTTCTTTTTTCAGAGGGGGTGCATGAAAGAGGTCTGACCAGAGTCCTTCTCCTCTCTTCTCTGCCCCAATCAGGAGGAAGGAGAATGGCGATGAAGAGGAGGGAGAGAAAATAGGAAAGTCATTCTGGAGGATGACTTCAGGGCCTTGGCCAGATTCCTGAGGTAAAGGCAGCTGTGACGAGGAGATGTGACAAAGAGAAAGACGCACGGGCACAGAGGAGGCATGGACCAAATGTGTGAGTTCTCAGAGCTCCAGTTTCGTCTCCGGAACAATGAAGAAAATTCTATTTATCCAGAGTGATTGGAAGATAAAGTGAGATAATAAACAAGAAATCAAATTACATAATAAGGACACATCTATGCACTTTACTAATACCATTGTGGCGAGAAGTAACCACCTCTTTCCTGTGCCCCAGGATGAAGGCTCTTGGAAGAGATGAAGAGGGAGCCTTAAGGAACAGGATGCTTCCTGGAGCTGCTGCTGAAGTTGGCCCCTGCCCCAGCCTCTGGATCTGGTGGTGTTGAGGGGCTTAGGTACCCTAAGGGGCCACACTGGGGAAGGCATAAGGAAGAGTAGCCCAGTTTCCAGGCATTCAAAATAGTAAAGTTCCCTGTAGAACTGGGCACCCCCGACACCATATCTGGATATGGCAAAGAAATGTCTTGATATTCTGAGCTGTCTGGATTCAGGAAGGAATACCCCAGGCCCTCAAGTCTCTGACCCCCTAACCTGAAGGCCTGGAGGAAATGAAGTTTCCAAGGTCCTCACCCACCCTTCAAGAGAAGCAAAAGATATATTTCCAGCCACCAGGAAACAACTCACCTGGACCATCCCCAGGGAAGGGCCCACCTCACTGCTTCCAACTCTTCACCCAGGGATTGGGTGAGCACCTATTATGTGCAGAGTTTACTCCACACACCCCGAAAAGGTGCGAAAGGAATGAAGGAAGAGATATACTGCAATAAATTTGGGAACCTATGGCAATGTCGAATGTGCCTTCCAACTCCAGGCCCCTGAATCCCAGGCTCCTAAAGCTTTGATCAGGGATTTGAAGGGCCCCTTGGCTATCTGGACTTAGCGCCTAGCCCTGTGACTTCCCCAGACATAGGCCCAAAGCAGGGGGAATTTTGCAAGAAAGAAGGTGGACATACTGGTCATTCCCACTTCCCACAAAATCGATCCTACAAAAACAACAGGAAGGAAACCCAAGGAGAGAGCACTGAAACAGTTCCCACGCGTGCACAAGCACACCTGCAATCATTCCGGCATGCAAACACAAGTGAGTGCATGTGCACACACTGTGAGCTCACGAATGTCCAAGGGTGCATCTAATCACAGAGAAATGAACACGCAATGGCATAGTACTCACACATGCAAGGATACAGAGAACTCGGTGAGTACTCAGCCACACCGGCATCTACACATGATCACATGTGTAGTTTCCCAGGACATCTACATATCCGGCCACACGCGTATAGGCACACAGATACAGACTACAGAGGAGCGGGAAAGCAGAGAGAACAGAATTTACCATAAAAAAAAAAAAACCTCCTGAGAAGAGACCCTCCCGCGTCCTCCTCCTGGTCCCTGGATGGCTAGGGCCCAGTGGCTCTGCCCAGGAGGGTAGGCCCCAGGGGCAGGGGCGAGAGTCCAGACACTGCCCTCTAGGAAATCCGGGTGTCCTGAGGGTCCGGGGGCTGTGTCTGCGCCCTCTTTGGTCAGGAAGCAAGCCAGGTTTTGCTGGGATTCTGAAAGGGGCTCCTCTCGGGCTTTGCGCTGGGGCGAGGCAGTCCTGTGCCCATTTCAGAGGTTGCGGCCCAGCGCGATCCCGACTGCAGACCGAGCAGCTGCCGCTATACATAGCTTCCCAGCATCGGGACCTCCTCTCCCGGCTTTGCGGGACCAGGAGCTCCGTGCCCCGGGAGGCTCCGTGCACTGCCCTCGACCAGCCGTTTCTCCAACGATATCACTTCTCCAAAGGATGAGAGGTTAAGTCCAGGGAGGCCGAGGCGCCCCTAGTTCAGGACGGGAGGCAGCCCCTCACCTCTGCCGTGCCCTCGCCTCCTGCTTCTAGAGGAGAAAACCTCCAGCAAAACTCGTACCAGAAAAAAAGAAAGAAAAAGAAAAGACGTTGGCTGGAGCGAGGAGCAGGTTGAAACAGAGGAGGCTGCAGCCGGGCTGGGCCTGGCCTGGCGCAGGGAAAAGCCGGGCAGCCCCGCAGTGTTTCCGAAGTCAGGATGGGGGTTTCCGGCTTTTGGGCTCCTTTGAACGCAATCAGAGACCAGGCGTGTCCCACCAGACCCTCCAAGCGCGGGGGGTCCGGGCCGCCCCTACCACCGCGACCCCCTGGTCCCCCGCATTCGTTGTGCGGTGATCGACCTTAACGGCACAGTGTGTGTGCGATGCTTGCTGGGGACCGCCGTGTGCCTGCGCCCTCACCCTTCCCCAGCCCGCAAAGAGGACGGCTTCTAGCCGCTCGTGAGCACAGTGTACACTTTATTTCAGACTACAGGTTTCTGAACATAATAAAATCTTTGGCTTGTAGCGGCGGTTCAGTCTCGCAGTCTGTGGGGTTGTATTTCTCAACAAGTCTCCGGAAAACGAAAGGGGAGGGGAAAGGACAGACAGACTGACGGAAGGGGCCGGGGAGGTGGGGGAGAGGCGAAGGGCAGACACAGGAGGAAACGCACTCTCACGCACACAAAGAAAAGTCCCAGAGAAACGAGGGCCAGTGATGCGGGGCGGGAGGCACCGGAGAAGCAATAACATTCAAAAGAAAACGAAACTGGGCCGGGGGCAGCGAGGCGGAGGCGGGGGATAAAATAATTATAATAATTATAATAATTATAACAATAATAATAAAGGAGATTAATAAAAAGTCCAGCAAATAGAGATCGCTACACATATTTCTTTTCCTTACCTGAAATTAAATATATACAAGGTCATAAGCGGTTTGGCTAGATAGAGCTTTAAGGAGTTCGCAGTTTCGTCCCTTAATAACTGTGAACAGAGAACTGATCTTATTTTTCGATAGCACCTGTCCGAGTCTTTCTCCCTTTTGAAAGATGTCTCGTTCCAACGTGACTTTCCATTCTGGGGACCTCCTTCTCTCTCTTTTCCCGGCAGCTCCCTTCCTCCTTGGCGCTGATTATCTCTCCCCAAGCGTGGGGCCGGCGAGGCGGCGGTGGCGGTGCCAG